AGGTTTAGCATCGTTTTACCTGACCAGTTCATGCTTCATCCATGAAAACAGCACTCGCTGATTTCCATACTCCATCTCTGATTATAATTTCATGAGGACTCAATAGCATGTATACAGCGCCTCATAACAGAAACACTTCCCGCTTTAAGCGCAAAACCAAACTTGCAGTTATCATCCCACAATAGAAGTTGAAAAACAAATGTTGGTGCAAAGAAATGAAACAATCCCAATATATGCACATAATCAGTGAAACTGGTGCTTTAGGGAAATATGCACAATGATTTGCATAGTTTCATATTGAGCAGATATGAATTACTGTGGTGCATATTGACCTGAGTGGGAGTGGAAGAGACACTCTTCTGCACCCACACTCCTCATGTTTCAGATTTTCTCATCAACCTCAGCCTTTCTGTGAGATTGCTGGGAGGAGCCCTGAAGGTGTCTCTGAAAATGCCGTTCGAGAGGCGGATCTGCTTTGAAACCCATCTGCCTTTTACCTCTGCCCAATATTCTCCTGGCACAATTAGCTATTCCTGTCATGCAGCCTCCTGTTGTAGCGAGCTCGAATTGGCAAAATGGGAAAAGGCAAATTGATACTTAGATATGAACATAATTAGACAGATGTTAGACGGCATGCTAATCTCTGCAGAAAAGTAAGAGTCTGGCGGTACAAAGGCAGAAAACTAAATAGTTTCCTGAAATCCGAAGGCATCGTATGCACCGTTCATCATTCATAGACCGCCGTGTCTCAGTCTGGAGGCCTCATGACACTGTGGATTATGAATTTCTCTCTTATTTAAAGTTAAAATGTGAATTTAACTACTGGGCTTGGAATATCTGTTTGTCTGACCATTGGCAGATGGGGAATTGTTGGGGAAACCTGAAAACTATCATTATTTTAGCAATTCTGTTTGGTGACATTAGAAATGACACACTTCAGCTTTAACACGCCCAGTTCATAAATTTATTCTACTATTTTGTTGAAGTATAAATTAAAGTGTGTTAGGACGCAATTAGCCTACACCTGGTGTTTACATGGATCTCAAGAGCCAATCTCCTGTGACTAGTTGTGAACGGTTTTTGTGGCTGCTTATTTTAATACTTATTTTAATGTCAACACAAACATTCTTTAGAAGAATGCATATGTTAGTTAAGTACTTGTATTAACTGAACTTCAGGTGTGTGTGCTTTTACATGATCTGAGTCATTGGGTCGCCGTAATTTTGCCAAGCAAGACATGTTCCTGGATCAACATATTTTGTCTTTGATCAACATTCCTGTCTGAAAATGTAGTCCTAACCCTATCCCTACATCTAAACCAAACCCTACCCATAAGTTATCTCTAAAATCAGAGGGAAATGATAGGTGAATAACACGTATGCTCAGTTGTACCAGGCTCTATTGCAGATAGATATTAATACCCGGTGTAAATGGGATACAAAAGACATCTGGTGTAGTGTTGTGAGAGCTGTGGTACCAGGTATGAGAACTAATGATGTAGATCAATGACACTGATTTGGTGAACCATCACTTTCACTTCCATCATAATAAATCTCAAAAAGACTTTCTTCAAAAAAAAAAAGTGTCTCCAGCACATTTGATCATGAATGCTATAAAGTAGTCCCATTTGTCATAACAGCTCCTGTTTGGCTGATTGCATTTGTAATCAAACAATGAAATGTGTCTCTGCATGTGGTCTGTAGATGATACAGCTCTTGACGCGGACGATTCATTTAATAATCAATTCATCCAACTTTGTAAATGAATGTTGCTGTATTGGCTACAAAACCACAAGTGATTCAGAAAACACATTTTTTGTATTTGTCAGACTGGCTTCCTGGTCTCTATACAATCATTACCAATGCATTTAAGCAAATACAGAAATACATATCAAACCAAATTGCAGATACATCAAATATGTCAACATTCCTCTTTTTAATTCCTAAAGGATTTTGTGGGTGTTGATATATGGAAATAAGGAAGGGGGAGAGCTCCATACTCCATACACCCCCATACACCCTCCTCTGCTATGCTCAAATATGACTCATCCATCTGTTTAGTCTGACTAGTTTTTTGTTCCTGACGAGAAAGATTCACACATAAGGACCACAGTGTATCAAAATTTCACAAGAGGCAAAAACACATCCAGCATTTGCAATAATAAATACAAGATCATTTTTGTCTCAAATTATTTATTTTATACCGCTTGTTCTTGTCTTTCATTTGCAGTATTTACATCGTCACTGTCTTACAAGCACATTCTAATCATGAAATGAGAAAAACTCAAGTATCACAATATTAACAAATCACTAACAGCAAAACACTGCGAGCACTGGCATAAAATGAATGTCAGAAAACGACTAGTCACTATGGAAATGGAAATGCAGAATGGGGGGGGGGGGTACAGGCTGATACATAATCAAGGGAGGGCAGACACTGACACTGTTCATTTAGAAATTAATGACGCAAACACATGAGGAAAAATGTGAACGGCTTGAGACCTTGACTGAAAGTAAAATCCATTTTCATTACAACCAATTTTAGTTTTTGCTTTTTTTTTCACTTCAAAATAGCAAAGATTTGCTTGGTCAAGCTTCAGTGGCTGCAAAGTAGCATAGAGTGTTATTTGTAAAAACAATTCTGTTTAGCTATTTCCTGCTATGCTCTGGAGACTAGACACTTCCTCAGAAAAAGCCATTATGGGAAGCTAATTGTGAACCGTAAATGTCAGGTATGACTAATGCATGACCTGCGCTGAGAGACTGCAAGTGTCCCATGTTGGCTTTCAACGCTCTGGTGGTTGCAGTGAAAATGCATTTGCCGAAGACCGCAACAAAACCAGCAGGGTCTTGAGTGTGTGCTGTGCATCATAGGCTCTGAGAAAGCAGCGGACGTTTGTGTTTAGCCATCCAAGCATCATTCTTCACTGTTGTGCATTCTGCTACATACTACTTCAAGTATGTGAATGTAGGGTGGTGTTTGCATAATAAACCTACAAAAGTTCTGGTATGACTGGTATGCGAATTCATTTTTATTATCAGGCGCTTAATTGCGGAGTGAAATCTAATTTTGGTGCCATATACTAAACATTAAGGGTAATTAGTTCTTACGGCACAGATATGAACAGTGAATTAACTGTAAAATCTTCATCCATATGCTCGTTTTTCATTTGAGCTCATTCTTGTCTAATAAAAGCTTGGTGATTCAGTGAATTCATTCTCACAAACGTTGTCTTTCCAATTACAGTGCTGGCAATGAGTAAATCTGCTAACCTTGACAAAAGCATCACATCAATAGAAACTTGTCCTCCTGGAAAAAAAAACCCTAATCTCTTGACTTTTATTGGAGATAATGTATTTTCAATTATTTGTATCTGGTAACGCTTTTTACACATTCATATAATTCATCAGTATAATAACAATAACAATAATGCGTAACTCCAGGCTTCTTCGCAACAGAACTCCAAGTCAAAATTGTTCCTTACTGTAGCTCAGTACTTCCATAATATGTACTCACTCTTTAACATAAAGACATAAAGCATGACCTTTACCATTGCGCTCTTTTCACAATGAACAGTTCTCCACACACCTTTAAGTCCCTGTGAATTAGTTTCTCCAGAATTCAAAAAGCATCTGCAACCTGTAGGTACCGTCATGTCAGCTATTATGTTTTGGGGCAGGAGTCATGTAAATCTACTTAAGAAAAAAAAAAGGTTAAGAAGTTTATTAGAATGTGCTTTAAGAATTTTCTCAAGAGCATATTAGTAAAATGACACTTAATGCTGTCTGATTGTATCATGTTCATGAGGTTGCCTTGTCTAATGGACAATAGTGTCCATCAACTGTTTGGTTACCAACATTCTTCAAAATATCTTCTTTTGTGTTCAGCAGAAATATGCAGAGATGGTCTCCAAAATGCATGCAGCACTCCATTCACGATTGAGGCGGGTGGAGATATACAGTATACTGTATGAGGTTTTGTCGACAGTTTGAGGATCCACTGGAGTTACGAGTTGGTATGTAGTTATATTTAAACTGGTAAAAAGTATAGAAGGTACACATGAACAGAAATGTTAAATTACTGACTCTGATTTACTGACTCCCCCCTTATTTTTGGGTGAACTATCCGTTTAACAAAGGAAAATAGCACAAAGAACTTTATACTTATGAATATTTTGTCAGTCCAGCCCCTGAAAGGCATAATGCAAATGTAAAAGCATTGAATACTATTGGGTATTCCAAGTCACCATGGGAAGCAATTAGGAGGTTACGCACAATTGGCTAACATACTTCAAAATGTGGCCAATTTAATTTCTACCAGCTTCCAACTAAGTTCTATGTCATAATCATAGGAATTCAAATCAAGCCTCAAATCACTACCTAGCCATCAGGGAACCCATTGTTTTCATGTTTTGAAGTTCTTGTGTGGATGACTACACCAGATTCAGGCTCCATTGTTGTTGAAATAGACCAGTCGACCTTTAACTCAACATCCCGTGTTCGTTCTCATGCTCGTGAGCTTACAGACATCCAATACATTATTAATCGATTCAATCTGAGGCCCTTTCACTTGAAAACAAAGCCTGCCTTTTTGTTCAAACATCCGTCTTAGGATTTGAGGAAAGTAAATTGTAATTTTTTTACCTTCTGCCTTGAGTTTTGCCACCTCTGAATTTTTCCAATCATATGAGACATTAAGTGATGCATTTGGGGAATAAGAGGACAGACCACCTGGACCACAGTTGTTTCATTAATATTCAGTTCAGACATCTTGGTGTAAAAGAGAATCTGTTAAAGTCAAGCAATGATTACCGATATAAAATCAACGCTTGATTTCCTTGTTTTCCATTCGTGTTTACTTGCTTTCTTTCTTCGTCCACATAAACCTTGCAGCCTTCGTTGAGCCAAAATGAAGATTTAGACTTTGGACAAAACAAAAGACATTTACAACACAAAGCATTGAGCCCTAAAGATGTGGGAACTACATAGAGGTTGTGTATAAGCTGAATTTCACAGATGAATTTCAATTCTTAGAGGTGAAATGTCTTTGATAGCTATTTCTTGTCCTGTAGTTCTGTATCGTGATCATAAGCATTTAGGTTCATGAACTCCACATTTGCTTATAACATACAAAGCTGTGTTATTTTGCCTAAATAGGGTGGACAACATTCTATCCTTTTTAACAGAGCTCAGACTGCAGCTGGTGTATTCAGCAGTGCTGGTTTAATTGGGCCACACGCACAGACAGGGTTTACCAGACTACGCAAGTAACGAGAGAGAAACGGACAGCAGCTTGACTTCTCTTTCAGGTTCCGAACGAAGCACAGTTATAAAGGGAAAAACAAATCCAAGGGCTCTTGGTCCTTTTGATCCTTACGGGTGTCCTTTGTAATAGCTTCCCTTTGGTTTCGGTTAATTGGATTGCTTATTTGTCTGTAGTTTATATTCTTCACCTGAACTGCTCTCAGACTTAGTTAAGTTTTATCCAGTGTGGTGTGACACGAGGTGAAACTTACTTTTATATATTATGACTGAGGTGATAAAGTCCCCAGTTCTTCTGGTTCATCCTCTTCTGTTTCATCCCTTTCTCTGATTTGGGCGGACAGGCGGTCCACGGGGAGGGATGAGAATGAGACATTTAGAAAAAAGACGTTCAGAGGTGGCTGTGTAGTATCGTGGAGTTCTGTAGTCCTCTCCTGACCGTGCTAAATGTGGCCTGGTTTGGACAGATACGCGACGAGGGCCACCACCACTCCCACGTAGACCCCCGTCCCAATGGTGATGGAGAGAGCGGCCAAGAACAAGGCTCGTCTAGATGCAATGCTTGCCAATGGGAAGTCTCCCTTAGTCACGGCTTTGCTAGTCTGGAACAAAGAAAAGGAATGGTGAGAAAGAACAAGATCAAAGGACACATTGACCTGTTTTCCATTCAAGGATAAATTGCTTTGAACTATATAGTGCTTCATTGATGCTGAGGGCTCAATGGAAAATTAGATGTGTTCTAACGCACATCGGCAAGACATCTTACGCTTAGTCACATGTCATATTAAAAATCCATTCGACCCACTTTGCAGGGCAGTGTCACAAAGAATGGTACCTTTTTAAAATATATAAAAAATTCAAGCAACCTTTTAGGTAGAAATGTGGACTGCCACATTTGATGTGCTGAATCCATCTAGAACAGAAAATAAAATTCTGGACACATTCAGGAGGCAGGATATCCGTAGAACCTTAAAAAAGAATTAAAATGTCCTCAATTCACATTTAAAAAAAACGAAGGACATAAAAAGTCAAGTTTATCTGACAGGAAACAAAGGACGAACAAAGACATTTAAGGTTATGTTGTTCCGTCTTACGTTTAGTCTTTGTTGACGAAAGAAAGAATTAGCACCTTTTAATCTTTCAGTTGGTTTTGTTTTAATATTTGTCCATGAAAGTCAAAAGTCAACGTTTAAATATGTGATGCACTGTGCTGTCTGTGTAAATACACCACTTCTCGGTACATACACTGATTCAGATTCTGTATTGCAATTTTAGCGTAAAGAAGGTTATAGTCTAAATTTAATGATTAATGACATGCTGATATGCAAACTGCCACTGAAAAAATAATCACCCTTTTAATGAATCTAAGAAAACCACTGAAGGCAAAAAATCGCCATTCATACATTTTTCTCTATTTTTGTTTTGTTGCAAAATCTTGTATCAAATCTTTTAAAAATTAGCATTTGAATAATACTAATTAAAAAAAAATCACATTGTGAGCAGTCAGTTATATAGTGTTATCTATATACTGTATATAATTGTCACTTGTTCCCCTTCAGGGACTACCGCTGCGTGTAATCGCAGTGGGAACGCCCTCAGCGTGACGCGTCTGAAGCATGAATGAAATCAGTCAATGGAGAGAATGAGCGTACGGCGAGTGACGTCATCGACCAGGAAGCTATAAATATCCCCTGAGTACACAAGACGGCAGCTTTTAGTTACTTCAGCAGCTCTGTGTGTGTCTGAATCTGTCGATTGTGTTTGTCTGTTTTGTCAGGAGTTTTCACTATATATATTTGATATAAAAAAAAAAAACAATATGAGCGAGCAGTATAAGAAGTATGTGTGGCTTGTTTGGGAGTGCAGCAATGCCCAGTCGGCTCTCGAGGGAGTCGATTGTCAGCATTGCGAGCGTTTTCCCCTGAGAACTCTGCGCTCGCGGCGATCGCTCTTCGAGGAGAGTGATTTGTTGCGAGCTCCCCGAGGCTCGGGTCCCGCTTCTGTTGAGGCAGAGCGGCGGCGCTTGTCTTGGGGCTCGCAGATGGATCTCGCTGGCGACGTTGAGACGGGCTCCGCCCTATCTCAGCTATCTCCGACGAGATCTAGTGCCTCTCACCCGGCTCTGGAAGCACGCGCTGCGGCGGTTACTTCTGCCCGGGTGGAGGCACATGATGATGTTGAATTGAGATTTTCCAGTTCTGAGGAGCTGGATGTCGAAAGTTTTGCATCAGAGAAAACTAGTTTATCACATTATACTGCAAATGAAGAAGGTTTGATGGATGTATTATCTCGGGCTGTTGAAAAGCTTAAAAAAAAAAAAAAAACAGTATCGAGTGGCCAGCTGATAGACAGGTTTCTAGAATTAAAAGCAATCTAGATGATAGATTTCTGTCTGCACGACCTCAACCTTCTCGCCGGTGCTTACCGTTCTTCCCAGATCTTCATGCTGAGGTTTCAAAAACCTGGGTTAGACCGGTTTCAAGCAGAATTTACACAAATCAGTCCAATGCTTATGGTAACATTGTTGGTGCTAAATCTGCTGGTTATGTGACGATACTGTAGGCGGAGGAGACGCTCGCGAGCTATCTCGCTCCTGCTTCATCGTCTTCACTTAAAGCACCGGCTCTTCCACCAAAAAAAAAAAAATATATATATATAAATAAATAAATATATATACCTCTGTGCTGGTGGGGAAGGCTTACTCTGTGGCTGGGCAGGCGGCTGCATGTTTGCATACGATGACTTTTATGCAGGCTTTTCAGGCCGACCTGCTCAAAGGAAAATCTGAGGGGGGTCCCCGCCGAGAGAGACTTGCGTTCACCTCCCTTAAGGGTGCCCTGTCTCTCCCGGCGCCCTCAGGGGCCCGTCCTACTAACCCTGCCGAAACAGGGCGTAGAAGGGTCTTGCGAGTGCTTTCCCGAGGGACGCTCGCCGCCTCTAAGGAGGGTTCTGGTGTGTTCAGACCAGCCGTTCCCTGCTGGTGCGCCGTTACAGGGCACTGTGTCTGTCACGCAGAATGTTCAACCAGAGCAAAGTTTTTCGTCGAGTTCGTCTTCCAAAAGAGCGCAGCAGAAGCGGAGTGTCACGTCTCGTACCCCCCTGCAGAGAAACTGGAGGGACGAGGCGGGGCGCTCTCCGGCGCGGCCTTCTCGGGGCAGGACTGATCTGAGGACAGTCATTGTCGCCAGAAAGGCCGCGTCGAAAAAGTCCTGACGTGCTGAACGTCAGGACTCTGAGGGTGGTCCCTATCGTGAAAGACCTGAGTTCACTGCACAAGAACACGGTGCCCTGTCTTTTCCGATGCCCTCAGGGGTCTGCTCTACTAACCCTGCCTTCACAGGGCGCAGAGAGACTCGGCGAGCGATTTCCCGAGGGACGCTCGCCCCCTCCGAGGAGGGTTGTGGAGTGCCCAGACCAGCTGTTCCCTGCCAGTACGTTACAGGGCGCTGTGTCTGTCACTGGGGATGTTCAAATCAGATCCGAGGACTGGTTTGTCATGATAGATCTAAAGGACGTTTACTTCCATGTATCTATCCTCCCTCAACACAGGAAGTTCCTGAGGTTCGCTTTCGGGGGCGAAGCGTACCAATATCGGGTTCTTCCGTTCGGCCTAGCACTGTCACCCCGAACATTCACGAAGTGTATGGATGCTGCTATAGCCCCGCTGTGGTTACAGGGCATCCGCTTTCTGTACTAATTAGACGATTGCTTGATTCTAGCTCAATCGGAACAACAGGCGGTTCGGCACCGAGATGTCGTTCTTGCTCATATCAAGTGACTGGGGCTGAGGCTCAACGCCAAAAAGAGTGTTCTTTCTCCATTACAGAGAACCACTTTTCTAGGTGTAGTGTGGGATTCAACGACGATGCAGGCACGATTGTCTCCTGCTCGTATTGCTTTGATTCTCGCTGCAGTAGATCAGGTCAAGCTAGGCCAGTCATCCACTGTAAAACAGTTCCAGAGACTGTTAGGTCTCATGGCAGCTGCCTCCAACGTGATACCTCTTGGCCTCTTGCACATGAGACTGTTACAGTGGTGGCTCAGGACCAAGGGATTCTCCCCGAGGGGAAATCCGCTTCGCATGATCGTGAGTTCGCGACGGTGTCATCACGCCCTGATCATGTGGAAAGATCCTTGGTTTCTGTCCCAAGGCCCTGTGTTAGGAGCTCCTTGTCATCGCGTTATGCTAATGACAGATGCCTCTATCACGGGTTGGGGGGCGATCATGGATGGTCGCCCGGCTCACGGTCTGTGGGAGGACCATCATCGTCAGTGGCACTTAAACTGCCTAGAGATGTTGGCGGTGTTTCAGGCTCTGAAACACTTCCTCCCAGACCTAAGTGGCCACCATGTTCTTGTCCGGACAGACAACACATCGGTGGTTTCTTATATAAACCATCAGGGGGGTTTGCGTTCTCGCCCGCTTTACAAACTGGCACGTCAGATCCTTCTATGGTCCCAGGGGAAAATTCTTTCTCTGAGAGCTATTTATCTCCCGGGGTATTTAAATCAGGGGGCAGACATCCTGTCAAGAAAGGGGCCGAGGCCCGGGGAATGGAGTCTTCACCCCGAGGTGGTGGAACTCCTATGGAAACTTTTCGGTCTTGCCGAGGTAGACCTATTTGCTTCTCGAGAAACATCACACTGCCCGCTGTGGTTCTCTCTCAGCCATCCAGCCCCGCTGGGGTTGGATGCGATGGTACATCCGTGGCCGAGGTCACGCTTGTACGCTTTTCCCCCGATCGCTCTGCTCCCAGGAGTTCTGGAGAGGGTTCGCCGGGACGGGCTCAGTCTCCTGCTAATAGCCCCGTTCTGGTCGGCGCGGGTATGGTTTGCGGACCTAGTGTCTCTCCTCGACGGCTCTCCCCTAGAGATACCGATCAGGAGAGATCTGCTCTCTCAGGCGAGTGGGTCGATCCTTCACCCCCGTCTAGAGCTATGGAGGCTGTGGGCTTGGCCTCTGAGGGGGCCCAGCTCATAGATTCTGGTCTCTCGGCTGAGGTCGTTGAGACCATCCTCCGATCCAGAGCTCCCTCCATGAGGAAGTTATATGCCGCGAGGTGGAAACTTTTCACCTCTTGGTGTAGAGAGCGCCAGCAGGACCCAGTTAACTGCCCGGTTGGTACAGTGCTGGATTTCCTGCAGGACCGTCTCTCCACAGGGTTATCCCACTCCACACTGAAGGTGTATGTGGCGGCCTTAGCTGCTTACCACACCCCTTCAAGTGGAGGTTCCCTCGGGAAACACCCACTTATGTCTCGCTTCCTTCGTGGCACCTTGAGGCTGCGGCCTGCAGTTCGCACGAGGGTACCAGCTTGGGATCTGGCCATCATCTTAGAAGGTCTCTCCCTTGCTCCTTTCGAGCCCATCGAGGAAGTTTCGGAAAAGTTTCTTACTCTAAAGACCTTCTTCTCGCTATCTCATCTCTGAAAAGAATTGGAGATATTCAAGCACTTTCGGTGGCTCCCTCGTGCCTGGAATTTGCTCCTGGTTGGTTAAGGCCTTTCTCTTTCCGAGACCAGGTTATGTTCCTAAGGTTCCAACTGTTTCTGTTAGACCTACAGTTCTGCAGGTTTTCTGTCCTCCGCCTTTTCTGACGTCAGACCAGGAGAAACTTAATTTGCTGTGCCCAGTTTGGGTTTTAGATGCTTACGTCCACAGAGCTGCCCTGTGGAGGAGATCGGAACAACTGTTCGTCTGTTTGGGTCACCTAAGAAAGGGTGTCCTGTATCTAGGCAAAGGATGAGCAAGTGGGTGGTCGAGGCCATCTCACTTGCTTATGGTTCGGCCCATCAGCCGTCACCTTTGGCTGTAAGGGCTCATTCCACCCGGAGTATGGCTGCTTCTACAGCTCTTCTTTCAGGAGCTTCTCTTCAGGACGTTTGTGATGCGGCAGGCTGGTCCTCACCGCACACTTTCGTTAGATTTTATTCCCTCGATCTTAGCTCCACTCCCGGGGCTCAGGTTCTCTCGTCGGTTTGTGTCTCCTAATGACACACGACGGGGATTTGGTCGTATGGGGATGTGGGTATTGCGTTCCCACTGCGATTACACGCAGCGGTAGTCCCTGAAGGGGAACGTCCCGGGTTACGTATGTAACCCTAGTTCCCCGAAGGGACGGACGCTGCGTGTCCTGCCATACTCTCGGCATCCCCTTGGGTCGCTGCTTCAGTAACTTTTAAGCTGCCGTCTTGTGTACTCAGGGGATATTTATAGCTTCCTGGTCGATGACGTCACTCGCCGTACGCTCATTCTCTCCATTGACTGATTTCATTCATGCTTCAGACGCGTCACGCTGAGGGCGTTCCCACTGCGATTACACGCAGCGTCCGTCCCTTCGGGGAACTAGGGTTACATACGTAACCCGGGACGTTTTGTCCCTGTTGGTTTTACCTTGTAAACCTTCCAAAAAAATACATTTGAGGTTTCAGTCACGATCAGTGATGCAACAGAGATACGAGGGAAAGCCGGCATTGCACAGGCGTTCTGTTTGTCAGCAACTAACTTCTTGCATAGTTTCTTTATTGTTATAATTGCCAGTGTCAGGAGGGATGAGCCAAATGCGAAGCCGAGATCAGAAGAAAATACATTTTCAGCTGTTGTTCTCTCAACATTCTCTCAAACAAATAACAACACGGTTGCTTGATGGAGTAAAACATCCAATCTTATCCCATTACCCCCTGAGCGTTTTAAAGAAATGACATGTGACTTGAAATGACAATGAATGGCCCTATCTAATGTTTCACTTTCCATACAACCCCATGCTGGAAGTACGCTGTGCTGAGAGCTATTAGACTGAAAAAGGGAACATCACACTGGTTTAATTTCTTTAATAGCAAGCCCTATGGAGCCCCCATGTGTAATAGTTTTAATCAATCCATTTCCTAGTTCAAATGAATAATTAAGTCCTACTATGATGCTCATTTACCAAGAACATGGCTCAAGGGCTGGATGAATTTAACGGGGGGAATTTTTGTAGAATGTGCATATATAACTAAACCGACACAATTATGCACAACATTCCCCACAGTGTGGTGTCCGCTATGTGTAAGCAAGCAAACATACTTTGAACAATCGCTTTTTGTGATTGTCTCATGACCTCTCAGAATCTGGTGTCTATTTTAGTATCCTCATGAGAAAGTGGAAAGAGTTGCCAGTCACACATGGCTGTCACTGTGGGAGGTGTCTTGCTCTCTTTGTCACTGCATCCGACCCGGTTGTCCAGGGAAAACGCTATTGATTTTCACTCCTACGTTTTGTGACAGTCAATAATGGGTTGCTTGGACACACCAGCGCTGGTGCACCAGCTGAGTTGCCATGTTAAATTTAAAGACATCTTCTTATACAAACATTTCCTGTAAGGCTGGGAGATAGATTAAAGGGGTCATGAATTTAGAAATTATATTTTCCTTGATCTTTTGACAAATATCCTGTAAGTTCCAGAAATCAAAACATCCTTGTTAGTCCAAAAACACCTTTTATTGAACCAAGCTAAAAAAACAACTTGTTTCGGATTGTCAAGGATTTCAAGACATTTTGGAAAACACAGGCTATGTTCATACTGTCGATTTTTGGGATTAACAACCGCATTTACTTACAGGTGTGAGTCTTGAAATGTCCCATTCAAACAGCAACTTACAGCAGCCAGCATCTCGAATACTTTCTGTATAAACGTGCAACGGGAGTCAAGCCCGTATATTAAAATGATCATATTCTCTTACCAGTAACCAAAGCGACAGTGACCAAAGTAATATCAAAGATGGAGACGTCCATAAAACTGAGAAGTCTTATCACTTTTGACACAGCAATAGTCCAATCGAGCCGGGACTCAAAATCATCAAATCTTCGGCAAATCTTTTTAAATTGACAAAACTTTTATATCTGGGTGGAGAGTTGAGCATTTGAGTCACACGTAGAACACAAAACTGACGGGAGCAGCTCCTGTGGAGAACAATGACTGATCTAAAACCTTCAGATGACACACAGCTCATATCTCCGTCGCTGTAAGCTACCCAAACCACACGTGAAAACCCGCAAAACACACACGTTTGTGCTGCACAGAACGGCTCTCGCACTGTATGACGTGACCGACAATTAGTTGTCCAGTCTGGTTCCGTTTACACAGGGCGGGTTTTCCAAGAAAGCGATTGCGAGTCCTGAAAATGTATGGGTGTGAGTTTGATTATAGAATGCGATTGTCACTCCTGCAAATAACTCAACTGTGTGTGAACGTAACTGTATTAAGGACTCAAATACAGGACTGATAACCTTATTCTTCTACTGTGTGAACATGGCCACAGTCTTTGCATTGCCATACTTGTGATCCTAACATTAAGAAAGGGTGGATGAACTTCATTTCTAACGAAGTTCCAGTCAGATTGTGTCAGTAAGACACTGTTCGTTTGTTTGCTTCATTTTACATTTTACAAGTAGGCTTTTTAGGCTTTAATTATAGTTAACATCAGACATTTTTTAAATATATTCGTTTTACTTATATACTTTTTGAGCACTTGAGCTTAACTGAGACTTGAGTGTCTGTAGACGTTTAAGAGGTTGTTCTGTCGATTGCAGTATTGAGGTGTTTTATTTCGACTTAAGAAAATTATGAAGAAAATAAACGTGATTGCACAAATCAACTGTTTCTTGTTTTTCACTGGCATGTCTCCTAGGTGCTGAGGACTAGTGCATATTTGAGCCTAAATTTAGACCGAGTAAAATACTTAAGTACTGTTAAAATCAGATCCTCTAAGACATTTACTCATTAGTCATTTTCACTGTAAGGTATCTGTACTTAAATATGATTTTCAGGTGCACTTTACACCTCTTATGTAGTTAATTAAACTAATAATTTAATAACACTTAAATGTAAGCACATCTAAAATTAACATCCATTTTCCATACTGTAAATTATAATTTTGTGATGCCTAAATTCACTTGTTGCAATCAAACTGTTTCAATCAATTGATTAATACAGTTATGTTTGTTTCCTCACTCAAAAATGCACTTGGACAACATACTGTATACCATGGGCTCTGTATGTGTCATGGCCTGTGTAGAACAAATATTGATATTGATTTTAAACATACTCAAAGTCCTATACAATGAATCCAAAGTCCTTAATTAGTTATAAGTAAGAGTAAGACAGAGGTGGAAGCTAAGAGGAAGGAGTCTGAGGCAAATGGTTGGCGACACTTCTCATGAACATTCAACCCTATGCCGCGGGGAAGGTGAGAAAATCCATTCAGGATGTTCTCCGAGGAATATTCGCAGCCAGGAGACAGGGCAAAAACATTCGCATTTTCACTAGATCTCATTTCCATCCACACACACACACACACACACTGAAGTTGCATTCTGGAGAACCTTTTCTGAACAACACCACCATCATCATAATTACTCTGGGAGAATTCACTTAACTCCTGACAAAATAATTCACTCTGCCCGTGTCTGCCACAAACTAAACTATAGATAAGAATAAAAAGGCTCATTCTGAGGTAGACAAATTGATGTGTTCTGTGCTGGGTGAGAAATTGGAGCTGAAATCATGGCACATCATCATGGTCACACCCATCTGATCAGTGCATTCATGTATACACTATTTATATTAGAGGAGTGCCTGGTCATTTTTGCAGTCACGCAAGCAGAGCTGTTTGCTCGTATGATGGGTTTTATAATGAAGCTGTTTTGTATTATTAGAGGGAGCTGATAGAGATCACAAACACTTTTCTCTCAGGAGACTACAGGCTTGTTTGGAGGGCACAGATGAAAAAGTGTTGAAGAATTCATCTCTTCTTTCTCTGGTGTCGTAGCAGATTTTTTAGCAGGCTTAATGGTTAGGCTCTGGATTTGGTTGGTGGGCTCTGCACTTACCCCCTGAGAAAAGTAGAAAGCAGCAATGCCCAGAGGCCAGAAGCAACAGAGCATGGAGAAGATAGCGAGGCCTAGGTGATCACGAGGAGGGATGACGATAAAGTTGTCCTCGCTCTCACTGTCACTGGAGCAATCTGTCTATAGGGAGAGAGAAGATTCATTAAAATCACTGCAGTTTGTTAACAGGTGATGCAATATTGAGAAATTTTTAATATAATTTTAAATAAATATTTGAATATAATTTTAAAATGTAAATTACTGCAGTCTTCAATGACACATGATTCTTTGATGAAAAGAAGGTTCAAAAGAACAGCATTTATTTGAAATATATTTTTTTGTAAGAATGTAAAAGTCTTTACTGTCCATTTTAATCACTTTAATGCGTCCTTGCTGAATTAAAATATAAATTTCTGGAAGAAAAAAAAATCTTACAGGCCCCAAACCTTTGAATTGTATTGTAAATTAAAATTATGAAAAACAAAATATATAATAAAAAATCCATTATATATAATATATACTTATCCATTATGAACACATCTGAAACCCCACAGTACACTGGTCCAGTTTACTTTAATTTTTTTGGGGATGGCCAAGTCAAAATTATTTTCTGTGATAATGAACATTAAGTATCACATACTGTTCATAGGGCGTATAATGACAACTTTTATTGAATCTGTGCAGCATTTCTACAACAATTTGTGAATTTTGCATTGTTTGTCAGTTCTCTCCTTTGATTCCAGTGATTCACTTGAGTTACTAAAAATAACTCCGCCTGTAGAGTGTGCCAAGAGGAAAGCTGTTAGGAAAATATTTCTGTACTGATTCCCGGCAATAAGCTGCAATCATCAGTGGTGAAGGATAGTTCTGTCACCGGGATTTTATCTGTGCAAATAATAGGCCTACCTCTCTATAAAATAACATGAGATGTTAGATTGGATTTCTCTGTAAGGAGGGGGTGAAGTGGCTTGTGCACATGGATATTGTCATGTTTCTGCTATATGGTGAATTACATCTCTTGGCAAAAACCAAAATACAGTTTACCTTGTCGTTAATGCTAGAGAAACCTGGCAAATTTCAGTCCATATAACGAATCGTCACACCTACACTCTTTCTCATTGCTTATATCTGAACACCTTGACGTTACATAAGAGGATATAAATAATTTCATTGGGTGTTTGTTAGCCATTCTGCTGTGTGCTGTGGACTAGGAGTTTAGTGCTTTAAACTGAAACACTTACAAATTAACTGCGCCAGTTGATGGCATCATTTGTATGCATAGTTTTCGTACCCGATTCACTTTGCAAGGCTAGTGGCATTATTGCCTAACTGTGCAAATGCGCACACAAAATCAGTGATGACAGAAATAAGTGCTATATGTTTTGGAGGATGCGCCATATGGCATTTTTTTTAAAAACTGTACAGCCTCTCTGCAGCATTAAATAAATGATAGTGATCTGATTCACAAAATACGTGCAAGTAAATATATTTTGTCGGTAAATATCTTTATAATGATCATGTTTATCTATAACGGGCGATGGGTGCCACTGCAATTCAGAGAATCAGAGTTGTCTGATTTGTAAATTCATCCATTTCTCCGAAAGACATAAAAGTAAGTGGCCGGTGAACTTGGAAAAGAATAGAGTAAAATTTATAGTTACCTACACAATGTGTATCTGATATTATAAACAAGTTTAGGGATTATTATTACTGCTCCCATAGACATCAGTGTGTATTTTACAATCTATAGGCCTAAATTTTTTTTTTTTTTCTAGTACTATCTGTATGTGAATTTAACCCTCATGTTATGTTCGAATTCTGAATACAATCTTGTTGGAGTGGGTCAAATGTAGCCCATTTGGATTCAATACCATACAATTCCCCAAAAATCACACTATGAAAAAAAAAAAAACAGAATCAGGTGCAAACAATCAATTTTCAATATCAATACTTTTCACACATTGCAAAGAATAAAATTCTGAATTTAGGATTAATACAAAAATATATATATTTTAAGACTATTTTTAAGACGGCCCCTCCCCCACACATGTGGGACTTTTGAAAGCTGGACGTTTGAACTATATATCATTTGAAAGCTTTCAGACTCTAGTTTTCATATTGGTGACTGTTTTTTAAAAGAAATGACAAAGCAATAGATAGATAGCTAAATATTCTCCATTTGTTATGCAGTGCCGAACTATTAAACGCACGTCCTGCGATATTAACATTACTGCCCAAACCACTTCTGAATAGTATCTACTTCATAAATATTATGTAAATTATGGAAATATATGGTTTAGATTGCTCACCATATAGCCTATAGAACATTGGAAATGGGTGCGTCCTTATATTGTCACCAGTGGAGCCTGGATATCATCTAGTGGAAAAGCTTGGTACTGCATACACAAAAATCTTACTGAAAGTTCATTTTTTTAGATATCAACCTAAAATTTGCAACATAACTTGTTCGGATGTTTGGTTTTGATTTTCTTGTATTTTTAGAGTTGAAACTGTTTTGTAAAATGTATATTTTATATTATATAAAGTATAACAATTATATTTTTATATATTTTACATTTTCATAAACTTAAATTTCACTTCATAACTTTTTTTACTTCTATAATAATCTGCAAAGTGCCCCTTTAAAAAGACACCAAACTTAACTCTGTGCTCCGAAGTATTCAAGATTTATAGCAAATTAAATTAAGAAATGTCTTTTTCAGGTCTATGCTCAAAAAGTGAGACTAACAGTAAACAGGTTAATCAGTTTTGTTTTCACAAACTTTTAAAATAAAAAGTTGCTAAACTCAGGTCACTGGTGCTTCAGGACTAGAGTTGAAGAGCCCTGACATACAACAAAGAAATGTTTCTATTTTGGGTCTGTACAATTGCCTTTAAATAGCTGCCTATATGGGTCAAATTGACCCATGAACATCAAGAATGTATAAAAATTCTGTATGCAAAATTCACAAGACATCAGCCCACAAACATCACAAACGTAATAGAAATGATGCGTGTACATGCCAAAACACATCAGCAAGTTGAAACTTTGTCTTTGTATGCATGTTCATGACCCTAAATGAGAAAAAGTCACAAAATGTAAAAAAAATCTAAATGGCTCAAATTGACCCACAGCATAACATGAGTGTTACATGTCATAAACATAATGTAAACCTTATATGGTTGAAAACACTGAATAGTTCTGCATTCAAAATAAATGTTTGTTTACATAATTTGTGTGTATTGTGTATAATTATTTTGTAAATATACACACAAGAAAAATGTGTTCTTTTTTTATATAAAATAATTCTAGAATTCAAATATTTCTTAAATGTATACATGCATGTTGATGTGTGTGTATACAAAATAATTATACACACACATATAATATGTAAACACAAACTTTTATTTTGGATGCGATTCATCTTTTCACAGCCCTAGTTCTGATACATGACAAGTGAGCCCTTCCATCTCTTACTCAGCGCCAGCCAAAGCGTGAACACATTATTTTAATTTAGCAGTTGATATTGTTCTAATCACATCGGTGTGATCCTATCAAATGTAAAAAAAAAAAAAAAGTATTATTTTTGGTCTTTTGGAATCTGTAATCAAAATCCATTTGGCTCAAAAACCTGAGGAGGGATGTGCCCCGAATAAAATTGTGAGGTGTGTAGAGATTCCCACCCCTAGTACTGAATAAAGTAACTGCAACTACATAAACTTATTTATACTAACCCGAACCCTAAACTAACAGTCTACAGATTACTCTAATGAGTGTTAGTTGACATGTAGTTGCAAAGTTACTTACAGTTAGTAAAGTGTCTAAAGTGGATCATCGAAATAAAGTGTAACCAAAAAAGTAATTTATAAAAAATATTATATATGATATTGAATATTCAATTGTGCATGCCCCCTTTGTCATCATAATGAACTTACAGCAGTTAAAACTATTGATTTTATTATTGTGTTTTCTTTTTTAAAAATTGATACAAAAAATAGTACAGAAGAATTTGGATATTGACCAATTTGAGAGTATCGGTCATAATAAATCAAAATAATTATCGTTGATCTTTGCATCCCTAATAGTGACTAAATTTGAATCAGTTGCAGCACTGTTGTATCAGATTTAGGCGTGTTTGCGAATTAAACTGAATCGGGGTAGTTAGTGAATAGTGTAAGTGACTTTCTAATTTGTCACCAATAAAAACGTAGTATAGCTAAAACTAATTTAGGGCAGATGGATCTGATGACTCCTGCACAAATTAGAAATCTGTATTCCTGCATATTGTACAGATGTAGTGGTACATGACTGCACAACCTGGCGAATCCAATGGCAATCGCATGAATTTTCATACTTTTTCAGCTTGTAAAACATCTGCATGTGCTTAACAAATTCGAAACGACAGCACCTGATTCCCCCCCCCCCCCCCCCCCCCAACATGTTTAAAAATGATGTAGAAGCATTATGTAACAGAAAATGTACAAACATCTTTCGCCAATATCCTGCATGGATTCAAATGCCTAATGCATTGAACTGTCCAAAAAAAATGGAATAAAAACTGATAAGCCAAAAACAATCTCATCATCTCCACATTCAGCTGAAAGGCATGACATTTGTGCATTATGTTATTACTGATCTGAGCTGTATGTGAATAATCTGCCAGCAGTGTCAAATGGTTAAGCCCCAGAGCCAGAGACCCACAGCTTGGCCCCCGATAAGCCCACCTCCACCCCTGCTTCTGCTTCTCAGGTGCCTCTCCTGAAAGAGGGTGTGCGGGGGTGGGGTGGGGGGTGACGGCAGATGCTGTCACTGCCTGCCTGCCAGCTTGCTGATAGGTAATGACAGATTAATGGATGGTTTTATCCTTTCAGGGTGGCAGGGGGCACAGGAAGGAAAGCGTGTAATTTATGTTACCAAAATGCCTCCCCCAGCATGAGCACGATGAGCCCTGTCTTTCTTCCTTCTCCCCTTTCGGTCTTTTCTGTTCTTATGCGATCCATCGCTCAGCTAATAGAACTTCATCTCGATTTCAAGGTGATCGATGTCAACACTTTCAAACTTATTATGTATGTGTCATGTGTGAGGGCTCTGGATGAGTGCCCTCCTTTGGCGGAGAGGAAATTGAATCCATATACATTTG